CAATTTGCAGAAGTCCAGTTTAGCAGTTGACAGGCTGACCCAGCCTCTTGGTCTTGCTTTTGGAAGTTTGTGTTCCTTGAACCCCTGTAGCCATTCTTTTTTTTTTTTTTTTTTTTTTTTTTTTTGGTTTTTCGAGACAGGGTTTCTCTGTAGCTTTGGAGGCTATCTTGGAACTCACTTTGTAGACCAGGCTGGCCTCGAATTCACAGAGATCCGACTGCCTCTGCCTCCCGAGTGCTGGAATTAAAGGTGTGCGTCACCAATGCCCGGCTCCCTGTAGCCATTCTTATTCCAAATAAATGAACTGCCCATAAATCCTGCCTCCTCTCCATCCCAGGCCTTTGGACTTATTTTCGTTTTGCTGTGTGTGTGTGTGTGTGTGTGTTCCTATGTGCAAACACACCTGTGTGCTTGCAGGAACAGGCCAGAATTTGATATGATGTGGCATGTCTTCCTCAATCATCTTCTACTTTACATTTTAAGACAGAGTTTTGACCTAACCCTAGGCTCATGAATGAATTCAGAAAAGCTGACTGGCCCTGGAGCTCCAGGGATCTGCCTGTTTTTTTGCCTACCCAGCACTGGGATTACAGCATTTGTTGTTTGTTTGATTGGTTGATTGGTTGGTTGGTTGGTTGGTTGGTTGGTTGGTTGGTTGGTTGGTTGGTTAGTTGATTGGTTGGTTGGTTGGTTGGTTGGTTGGTTGGTTGGTTGGTTTTGTTTTTTCTAGACAGGATTTCTCTGTATAGCCCTGGCCATTCTGGAATTGACTTTGTAGACTAGGCTGGCCTTGAACTCACATAGATCTAACTGCTTCTGCCTCCTGAGTGCTGGGATTAAAAGCATGGGCCACCACCTCCCAGCTGGGATTACAATTTTTTGCCTAGGTGCTAAAACTCTGAACTCACTCAGGTCCTCATGCCTGTGTGGCGTACGCTTTACCCACTGAGCGCCCCACGGATTCTGAATGGTTGCAGTCCCTGCTGAGCAGTCTAAGATTCGCGTCTGATGGTTCATTCAAGAACTGTGTCTGCAAACAACTTGTTCTCACACTAGCTTTTGTGACTCAACACACATCTTCCTCTGGACTGCAGGGAGATTTGGGGTCCATTTCCCTGGGCCCTGAAGGTACCTTCTCTTTCTTCCAGATCCTGGCTCAGTCAGTATGCAGAACCCCAAACTCCTACCATGGGGCTCATTTGAATATCTGTAGCAGAAGCCTGAATGTTACAGGGTCATAGAGGTGGCCACACTAGGTAGCCACTGTCAGGAGTCCCAGAGACACTAAGCACAGAGTGTACAGAAAGCAGGGACAGTAGTATCTGAGTCTCCCCTCCCCCACTTCATGTCCCTGTTCTCCAGCCAGGCCTACTCAGTGGTCCCCTGATGCCTGGCCTCTGACCAAGTAGGTCCCTCTATTGGGGACACTCTTCCTTACCCCCTCTGCCTTCTTCCTTTTCCTTCAAACAAGTCTGTTAAGCTATGGTTTGTTCACAATAGGTGGCACACATTTAATGTGTACAATGAGCTAAGTTTTGACACACATATACCTATGAAAACACAGTCAAGGCAGTGTACCTGTCCTCGCCCCCTCATCCCTGATGCCCTGTTATCCCTCTGTTGTCCCGCTGACAGGGTTTCTGACCCTCTGGTGTGTTCACAGCCTTTACAGCTGTGTGCACTTTGAATCATGTGGTGTGATGCTCATCTGTCTGGTTTTTTTTTCTTTTTTTCTTTTCTTTTTTTTTTTTTTTTTTGGTTTTACGAGACAGGGTTTCTCTGTATTGTTTTGGAGGCTGTCGGTCCAGCCTGGCCTCGAACTCACAGAGATCCGCCTGCCTCTGCCTCCTGAGTGCTGGGATTAAAGGCGTGCGCCACCACCGCCCGGCCATCTGTCTGACTTTTTGCATGGAACATCGCCTCTGAGATTCGTAAGAGCTATTGAGTACACCAGGAAGTCATTCCTTTGCTTTGCTGAGTGATACTCTATTTCGTGGCATACCACAGTTTATTCATTTACCTCTGGGTGGATTGGTGGCGGATTAAACGTAAAACTGCTGTGAACGTTCATGAACTAAGCTGTAGATGGACATAGGCTTATGCCCCTCTTGATAATACTAGGTTAGGAATGGCTGGTCTGTGTAACAGGTGTGTGTATAAAATTCTCAGAAGCTAATAAACTGATTTTTGGCTTAACAGTGTAAGAGTGCTCTCGTTTGTCCACATCCTCACCAGCACTGCGAGTCACGTGGGTTTTAGTTACAGCACTAAGCAGATGGTCCTGGGGAGCCAGTTGAGACATAAGTTTGCATTCCCGGTAATTGCTGCTCTTCAATTTTTCATCTACTCACCGAACATCTTATTTTTCTTCTTTCTTTTTCAGGGCAGGGTTTCTCTGGGTAGCTCTGGCCGTCCTGGAACTCTTCAGACCAGACTGACCTCAAACTCACAGAGATCCGCCTGCCTCTGCCTCCCGAGTGCTGGGATTAAAGGCGTGCACCACCACTGCCCAGCAATGGAACATCTTCTTATATTTTTGGTTGTGAGCCTAGACTTTAATGGCTGAGCCATCTCTCCGGCCTGGACATCTTCTTGATGAAAACATTTCAATTTTCTTTCTTGGGTGCGTGTGTCCCCGTAGGTGTGCAATGAGCACCTGTGTGTAGAGGTCAGAGATCAATATCAGGTGTCTCTCTCAATCACGCTCAGCTTAGTCTTTGAGGCAGCATCTCTCATGGACCCTGGAGCTCACCAATTCAGCGATCTCCTGGGAGCCTCCGGCCTCTACCTCCCCAGCTAAGATGTCAGATGCCCGCCATCACACACCTCCTTCTACCTCAGGTCCTCATGCTTGCGTGGCAGGCACTCCACTTAGTAGGCCATCTCCCCTTGTTTGTCACTGTCTGTTGGCTTATCATTTTCTTTTGTTACTGAATTTTGAAAGTTTTAGAAGCACATTCTAATAATCTGATTGCAAATATCTTTGCACTTTGTTTTTCCTTCCATTGCGTCTTCCAAAGAGGGTACTTTTCATTTTCATAAAAGTGAATTCATTTTAGGGACCACAATTTTGGAGCTACTTCTAAGGAAGTTTTGCTCACCTCAAAGTCACAAAGATTTTCTCCCGATTTATTCATGGATTTTTTTGATAGTTTTTGCATTTTGCATCTGGGCCTGCTGCCCTGTGTTCAGTGCTATATGTAACAAGTAATAAATCGAGGTTGATTTATTTTGTGCATGCCTCTCCAATGGCTTTAATACAACTTCTGGGAAGCGATTCTTCTAGAATCATTCTCCAAACTCCAAGAAAACATGACGTATGGAAGAGAGCTTGCTTTTGAGTTCTCTATTCCTTACTTCCAGGCTCTCTATTCCATTGACCATCTCTACGTCAGCAACTGCCCCGCACTGCTGATTGCTTGGCTTGACTGTAAGTCTGGACACCAGACCATGTTAGTCCTCAGCTTGTAGGGATTTTTAGGACTGTTTTGTTGAATTGGCCCATGTGGGCAGGGCAGGGCAGGTCTGTGTATTCAGGTTTTCTTTCATCTCTCCGCATGGTGCTAGCTTTTCAGAGGACAACTCTTACATACCTTTCTCTCAGACTGAGGTCCTAGCATTCTGAATCACATGCTATTATAAGTGGTGTTGTGTAGCAGTGGTCCCTAACTCTTCTTTGCTAGTCTGTAAACACAGTGGATTCTGTATGTCACGGGGTCCCTCAATCCAGCTCAACATAGTTAATAGTGGCAGTGATTATTTTATTGATTCATCATATTTCTACATAGTCAAACATGTAAACTGCAAATAAAAATACTCTAACTGCTTTATTTCCTTTCCACCCCATGCACATTTGGGAGCTGGAACCTCATGAATGGTGCCGAATAAAAACAGAGAGGAAAGACCTGGTGACCTGGCAGGCATCCTGTTGTCACTGAAGTACACTGTTACCAGTAGGTCTTTGTGGTCAAGGACAATGTGGGTCTGTTGAGTTAAATGGATTTTCTTCCCTAATTTTTAGGACTCACCCCATTTTTTAAAATTTTTGCATGTATGTTTATCTGTTGGAAAGTATGTGCACATGTGTGCACATACCTGCAAAGGCCAGAAGAGGGTGTTGGATCCGTGGAACTGAAGTGACAGGCAGTTGTGAGCTTCAAAACCTGGGTAAGTGGAAAGGCACTCGGGTGCCGTGTGTGAGGAGTTCGCGCCTTCACCCGCTGGGTCATCTCCCCAGCCCCTCTCTCCTGGGTTTTGAATAGGATTAATTCCCCACCTTGATGCCGTGTTAGTAACTTTTCTGTTTCTGTGATAAAACACCATGACCGAAGCAACATTTGAAAGAAAGTTTGCTTGGCTGACAGTCCCAGAGAGATAAGAGTCCCTCGTGGTGGGGAGTAATGGCAGCATGGTGGCCAGAGCAGACAGAGAGATCCCATCCTTAGCCATAGGCACGAAGCAAGGGACAAACGGGAAGTGGGACAAGGCCTTAAGCTCCCGGAGGCTGGCTGCAGTGACATACCTCCTCCAGGCTGCACCCCTCCCCCTTAACCTCCCCGAACGTAGCCACCAACTGGGGACCAGGTGTTCGAATTCCTGAATCTGAAGGGGACATTTCTCACTCAAACCACTGCAGATGCTAACCCACCTGGTCAAGCCTCGTCCTTTGTCGTGGTATGGGGCTCAACCCTAAAGCATCTTTTGAAAGGTTTTTCCAATTGTCATTCACAAAGAATATGGGCCTGTGGATTTCTTTTCTTGCGTTGCCTTTGTTCGGTTTTGATAACACCATCACAGCAACATAAACCGCATTCATCAAGGCAGAGACATTCTTTCTTCAAATTTCTAAATGGGTGTGCATGGAACGCATATCATTTCTTTGTACAGATGCCTTCATTGAGGGAACCTTAAGCCCAATGAAACCCTTCCTGGTGTAAGTTGCCTTTTGTCATGGTCATTGACCACAGAAACAGAAAAGTAAGACACACTTAAAATGAATATTTAAGTAAATAAATCGATATTATTTTTAAATTTTCCTGCCTGTGAATTCTGGGCTGAAAACCTTTTGAGTATTTGAAAGATGCCATCCACTGGTTTCTTGTGCCTGAACTTCATGATGCTCCTTGGGTTCAAAGTTATCATTCAGTTGGGGTTAGCTTTGTCACTGTTTCTTCAAATATGCTTCCTGGCGATCCCTACCGAAGCTCACGTGTGTGCTTTTACCGTTGTGCTTTCTATCCTGTGTGGGCTGTTTCATTTGGGCTGGTTTCCACCACTATGTCTTCAAGTCCACCGTCTTCTCTTTCTGCAAAACAGAATCTCCTGTTAGTTCTTCCTGATGCATTTTTCAACTTCAAACTTGTGGTCTTTGTTTGCATTTTTTTTTCGGTTTTTCCAGACAGAGTTTCTCTGTGTATCCCTGGATGTCCTAGAACTAGCTCGATAGACCAGGCTGGCCTCAAACTCACAGAGATCCTGCTGCCTCAGCCTCCCAAGTGCTGGGATTAAAGGCGTGCGCCACCACCGCCAGGCTCATTTGCAGTACCTTGATCTGTGCCTTTGTGTGCCGTTGTTAACTGTGTAAACATGGAGTATCGCCATCAGAACTGTTTAGTGTCTTTGCTGCCGACTCTAACATCTGTATCCATTCCATGTCAGCTCTGACTGAATAATTTCCCTCTTTCTCATGGGCCACATTTTCCTGCCTCCTTTGCATACCTGGTAATTTGTAAATGGACACCAAACCGAATCTTATCCTTCCTGGTGCTAGATAGTTTTGTGTATGCACACCTTCTCACACTTTGTTGTGGATGCAGCTAAAGTACTTAGAACCAGTTTAATCCTTTTGGGGTCTTCTTTTCATGACTTGTTAGGTGGCATAAGATTGCTCAGCCTAAGGCTCACGACTACCTCCTTCTGAGACAAGACCTCTGTGTCAGTCAGCGTTGCATTACCAACTCATAAAGCTCAAAGGTCCATTTCGTCTCAGTTTGGGAGGTTCAGTTCCTGGTTGGCGGGTCCCATCGCTTGGGGTCTATGGTGAACCACGTGGTAAGTAGCATACAGAAGGAACCTCATCAGGGACCAAGCCTTTACCACATGGTATCTAGAGGAACCTAAAAACCCCAGCCAGGCCGGGCGGTGGTGGCACACGCCTTTAATCCCAGCACTCGGGAGGCAGAGGCAGGCAGATCTCTGTGAGTTCGAGGCCGGACTGGACCGACAGCCTCCAAAACAATACAGAGAAACCCTGTCTCGTAAAAACCCCAGCCAGGGCAACCTTGCTGAGCACTCTCTACCCAACGCCCTGTGAGTCGCTAGGTCTCCACACCCAGCTGTTCAGAACAGGCAGGCCCCCAACACTATGCCTCCTGATCTCTTCTCCGGGCTCTTCAGTGTTCGTTCCTGATCTCTTCTCCGGGGCTCTTCAGCGTTCGTTCCTGGGCCTCAGCTACTTTCCTCCCAAGCTCATTACTATTGTGTGAAGAGCACGCAGACAATACCTGCGCTCTCTCTGAGCTCAGCAGCACAGGTCTCCTAACTCTGGTCTAACCTTCTGCTCAGGGGCCTGATGGTCTACTGTGTTCCTCACCCTCCCCTGTGCCCAGGGCTTGGACAGTTGAGATCTTCGCTCTCCCAGGGCTCTGACAGCCCAGGTCCTCACTCCACGCCTGCTCAGCACTCTGACAGCCCAGATCCTGGGAAACCTGAGGCAGACACGGGGCTTCCTTCACTTGACTTTTCTCTCTCTCTCGGGGAAGACAGCCTTTCATTTCTACGTCGCTGTTTTAGCCATTTTATTATTTTATGTGCATGGGTGTTTCCCGTGCATGCATGTCTGAGCACCACACACATGCCTGGTGTCTCAGGAGGCTAGAAGAGAGCAGGGGATCCCCTGGAACTGGAGTTACAGATGGTCTGAGCCATCGCCACGGTGCAGGTGTGAGGAATCAAGCTCAGCCACCTCTCCAGCCTCCAGCCCTCCGTCTCACACATCTCATCCAGCCTTTGGTTTCAGTCTGGCCCATGCTTTCCCATCACAGGAAGCTCCCTCCCTCACAGGGCTGATGCATCTCCCTACTTCACCCAGAAGTTATGTACAGACACCTCGGTTCTGCTCTTGCCTGATTACAATCAAATGGACCATAACGAAACATAGGGGTGGGCCATGCCTTTCTCACTGGCACGCAGTAAGTCTGTCATACAGTAGGTGCCTGATTCATGTTGAACATTTTGAACATGTTTAGCTCCCAGTGGTTGAAATAATGATAATAACACTCTCCTCCTTGTGTTGGGTCAGACACTGGAGATATGAGGCACATGAAACTTAATAACAAGAGGTGTACCTATGCACCCAGCAACAGGACCCCGGAAGTCACAGTAGGTCAAGCAACACTGACCAGAGGCAGTTTGGACTGGAAAGTGCCATGTGGAACCAAGGAAGACTGGATGGCTAGGCCTCCCGGCAGACAGGGAGCCTACTCCCAGAGTGGTGTCTAGCCTGTCTGCCTCCTGAATTGCAGGCTCCTCAACACCCAAGGTCATGGAAAAGGTCCTAGCCCAAGCAGTTTGAGAACGAAAGTCTATAAAATGACCTGATTTCAAATGACATTTTGGTCTGTATTTGATGGGGTGGGGGGTGGGGGTCTTAGTCAAAGAATGCTCAGCCCCTCCTCCCTGCCCTGCCCTTCAATGAGGCATTTCCATAAGAGGAACTACTTCATGGACCTGCTCCCTTTAAATTATTTCTAACGCTTCACGCCTGAGCCTCTCCTTGGTTCACCTTTCCTTTCAATTACTTTCATTCTTCAGTGGAACAATGGCGGCAACAGGCCCCTCCTGCCTGGGACTCTGCAATGTGTGCCCCTACAGCCAGGTGCCCAGGCTGGGCCCTGGCTTTGTTCCCCTGGCCAGACAGCCCGTGTTTCATCTTCCCGTCTCCCCATTCTGCACCATTTAAACTTTAACCTGGTAGTAACTTTGCCCACCTTGGCTACCAATTCAAAGGCTGAAAGATGAAAGCCCTCCCCTTGGATGTGGCTGGAAACTTCATCCTCCGGCTCTCTCTGTCTTTGAACTGCCTTGGAGCCTTTTTTCCCAGACCCTTTTATTCTCCCTGGGGCTCTAGCTTTCAGGCGTGGGGGCTTAGGGAAGGCAACAATGGGGGCTTCCCCACTGGGACCCAAGAAGACCCCCAGTGTTCCTGATATGCAACTCACCTGTTCTCACACATGTGCTATACCACCCCAGGCCCAGGGACCTGTCTCTCAGGCCACCATCTCTGGCCTTCAAGGCCAGGCCCTTGCCTTCATCCAGCCCTCCCCCATCTCAGCTTCCCTTCACAAGCCCCAGACCCACAGCAACTTCAAGGCTGAGAGCCCCAGGTGGGTCTTGCAGAAACTTTTTCCTTTTCAATGCCAGGCAGGCCACTCGCTGCTCTCAGATGTCGGGCAAGGCACAATGAGAGAATTCTGCAGTCACACACACAAAAAAAATCCAGGTAGTCAAGACCAAATGGGAGAATAAGAAAATGAACCTGAGAGAGTGGACCCAAAAGCAGGCCCAACTTTTCTTGGTCCTCCATGAAGGTCCCCCTCTGACAGGGTGCACAGCACCGCCTTTCAAAGTCGCTGCAGCCTCCACCCCCCACCACATTATACTCAAGGATTTTGTGGTTGACAAGGGAGAATAGTCTGTGTCACCCATATCTCTGATGGTGACAGAGGTAAGGAATATTGACCTGAGTTGCATGGTGGACCTCAGGAAGAGATGTCCAGTTTCTAACCCCTGGATCTGTAGATGTTGCCCAGCTTGGAAAATAGGTCGCTGCAGATCAAGCTAAGGTTTGAGAAGTGGAAGTCACTGTGGACTACTTGGTGGGGCGCTTAATCCAGTGACAAGTGTCTTCTCAGACCAGAATGCTGGCAGCCTGCTTTGTGACCCTGTCTTCCTCCTGTCCGGTAACACGTGTGCCTGTTTTCATGAGAAAACAACAAGGCAATCAGATGGGAAGTGTGGCCACCAGCTATGGGACACTTGCAATCACCTGAAGCTAGACTGTCCCTAGAGCCTTGTTGGGGAAGCCCTATGACACCTTGACTTTTGATATATGCCCTGCAGAATGGAGACAAAATTAAGTCACCAAGTGTGTGACAGTTTAGCTTCAGAAAATGATTGGGAGCATGTAAGGGGAGGGACACTGCATGGGCCACCACACTCCCTCCTCCCTGAGCCTGGATTGTCCCCTGACATCACCAGTGACGGCTCAAAGAGGGACCTTAGCCAATGGGATGGGTGGGGGATGCATGCTGGGAGCAGTAGCCTCTCTCCTTTCTCAGGGCCTTATGAAGATAACAGAGGATCCGGAGAGGAATAAGGTGGGTCTGTAGAAGCAAAGGAAGAATGGACAAACATGCCAATTCATCTCCACCACACATGTCCACCAGGCTAGAACAAGAGACACTGCTTCCTGGAGGAGAAACTCTGCATTCCGGAGGCTAGGACTAGAGATACAACATGACCTGATCCTGCCTCCTAAAGAAAACAACGCATGGGGCTGGATAGATGGCTCAGTGGTTAAAAGCACTGGCTGCTTGCTCTTCTGGAGGTGCTGAGTTCAATTCCCAGCAACCACATGGTGCTCACAACCATCTATAGTGGGATCTGGTGCCCTCTTTTAGCATTAACTCAAGCATGCAGATAGAACACTCATGCACATAAAGTAAATAATCTCTTAAAGAAAGGAAGAAAAAAGCAAGGCACGTGCGAGGAGCAGGAGGACAAGACACACGTGCTCCACCCGTAGCTGCTCTGCAAAGCCCCTGGAATAGAGCGTCTTCTGAAGACAGAACGCTGCTGACCGCAGAGGTTTAGCATGGGGCAGGCAGGATAAGCACGGATTCAGGTACCACCCCGAATCCTGAGGCACCGCCTGACCATACCTCTCACTTCACGCCTCACCATAGGAGTCAGAAGAGCCATCTACAAATGTGAAAATAAGGCCAAGACATTGAGAGCAGAGATGAGAGATCAAGCTACGAGGCGTTTTCAGCAACTCAAGAGTGTCAACCACCTGTGGTGGGGCATGGTACTCGGGCAGCATAGGGCCAGCAGAATGCCACCCCTGTGTGTGCAGCTGACGGGGTAGTGGCTAAGCAGCTGTGGGACCCAGTGAAGGTTCTGGGTCTCTAGAGTTGGCAGCAGAGCCTTCAGTGACTGCTCAGACAGTGGAGATTTTTGAAGCATTAACATGAGTGGGAAGACTTCCACGTGCCACTTGGTAACTTGAGAGGTGTGTCTGTGAGG